GTGTGCAGGTGCCTGTGCAGCATGGTCATGCGCGTGTGCAGGTGCCTTGTCAGCATGGTCATGCGCGTGTGCAGGTGCCTGTGCAGCATGGTCATGCGCGTGTGCAGGTGCCTTGTCAGCATGGTCATGCGCGTGTGCAGGTGCCTGTGCAGCATGGTCATGCGCGTGTGCAGGTGCCTGTGCAGCATGGTCATATTATGCGTGTGTGCAGGTGCCTGTGCAGCATGGTCATGCGTGTGTGCAGGTGCCTTGTTCACTGTGTGTAACACCAATATGGCCTCTTGTTCCCAGGAGGAGCAGAAAGAGTCCTGTGCGACACATGGAGACTCTGCTAAAGCCAGTGTGAGTACTGCAGTGTTGCCGTGATCCTCATGGTTGGATACTATTATTAGGATAGTAGGTTGCGAAACATAATAGCATAATAGCCAATTTGTCAGAGGTCAGATTCTCTGCATAGTAAGTCACAGTCTTGTGTCATTAAAGCTTGAAGTTGTTTTTCTGTTTTTGCCAGTATAATGCGCAGATGATGTGCGGATATGAAAGATAATATAAACTCTATGGGCAGCTTACTGCTTACTTTAGCTATATTAGCACATGTAAAATTTTATTTTAGCACATGTAAGGTATTTTATTCTACCAATAACTAACAAATGTACATAAAGGTACGTGTTAACAATTACGGGTTTTACTCTCTTCAATAGAACCAAACACATTTCAGCCACCTTACATGGAATTATTTCTCATACATCATGTAGGGAAAATTAGTGTTACAACAAATGCGGCCCTTTGCATACATGCACTTTCACGTATTCAGTTTTTGGGAAAGTATTTTCTGTATCTCATACGTTCTTACCAAATTACATTCTTGTTTTTATGAACTTGATCACATGCAAATTACAGAATAGTATTTTGTATTTGAAATACAAATTTTAAATGCGTGTATCGGACATACTCCCCATCCCTGCCTGTGTTTCTGTGTGCATGCTTCTGTCACCTAGACAGATAGTCCCTCGTTCTTCATTTCCCAGGTGGCAGCCCTTCCCATCGCGAAAGGCTCCGTAAGTCCTAGGGACGTTTTTCAGCAGGAGAGAGACGTGGCTTCCAAAAGCACTGCTGCCAGCTCGCAACCAGGTGAGAGCTGCTAACGGTCTCCTAGCCAGCCAATGGGAGCCCGCCACACGCGCAGCGTGCTCCCCAGCCTTCTCCTAGCCAGCCAATGGGAGCCCGCCACACGCGCGGCGTGCTCCCCAGCCCTCTCTGTTTGGTTCGCTGATCCTGTCCTCCTCGTGCATCTCGGGTTGGCCGCTCAGCCCCTTCCTCTGCAAACAGGCAAATGAGCTCAAACCCAGTGCGTCTGTCTCCTGTGCCCAGCACCACACCTGCCTCTTCTCCCCAAGCCATGGGTCTGAGCTCAGCTCCAAACACACACGTATAGATGTGCGCATGCACAGTAACACACTGACACAGCCCCGTACTGAAGACCCGCTCGGGCCAAGCTGGAGGAGACACCGTCAGAAGATAGAAGATAACATCAGCCTTGCTAACCATGAAAGCCTCAGTTACCACTGCCCACCTTCTCTCAATTATGGCAGTGGGATGTTCTGTTTTGGAAGCAGATGTTAACTAAATCCTTCCCCCTCCACGCAGAAACTGAGCCATCATCCAATGGGAAGAAGGCCCCCACCTATGAGGCTGCCCCCCCAGTGGAAGAGGAAGAGCTATATGAGGACATCACAGAGGACAACACTGTCCAAGAGGAGCCCCCGCAGGTAACCTATTACGCCTCCACTATGACAGGTGACACTGTGTGACAGTGTGACCAAAACGTAACACATCATCAGCGCTGAGGTTTCAGGAGAGCCACTTCCTTCCTGCTTCTGGATGGCAGTGAATCAGTGCTAAAGACCAGCCCGCTGTACATCAGCAGGATGGCATTCCTGGAGGATCTAGACCAAGGTTTCTCAACCCAGTCCTCGGGGACCACCAGACGGTCCACGTTTTTGCTCTCTCCCAATTGGCAGGGAATTGGGAGAGAACAAAAACGTGAACCGTCTGGTGGTCCCCGAGGACCGGTTTGAGAAACCCTGATCTAGACAATGTTGGGTGAATTTTACCACCATGCTGCCCAGACATGATTCAGTTTTTGTGACATAAGTACATATCAACTTTAGTTGCCTTAAATGTATAAATGTCTTGTATTTAAATAGACTTTAAGCAGCAAATTAAGGTTATGGTTCATAAAGAGAAAGGGCTTGATCTGATTCTGCCTCCGTCCTTCTCTGCCCAGACTGAGGTGTCTGCCACAGAAAACGCAGAAAGTCACGGCACCTGTGCCAAGGCTCTGTATGACTACCAGGCTGGTGAGTGCAATGCATGCTGGGAGGTGTGTGTGTGGGGGGGTGGTGGTAAGGAGTTGGGCTGTATGCTGGGACGGAGTAGCTAGCGTGACAGGGAAGTTCTCTCGTGGATTTAACCTGATGCCTCATAGTAGGTATATGTACGAATTCACTTAGCAAGCAGTAGGTTCTACCCCCCATGGTGACGCTGATAATGCCAAGTGGAGTTTAATATGAATTAGGGCTCAGTTGGAGGTTCAGTTTAAGAACAAGGTTGTACCTGAGTGATGTATACTGGTTTTTCCAGATTGAAGCACTACTGATATGTGTCACTGCATCACAATTTCTTGTGGTTTTTCCACTATAGCCGACAACACTGAGATCTCCTTTGACCCGGATGACATCATCACAGGAATAGAGATGATCGATGAGGGATGGTGGCGTGGCTACGCCCCGGACGGGACCTTTGGCATGTTTCCAGCCAATTACGTCGAGCTCTTGTAGGCCTTCTCTCCTCTCAGCGGCCCTGCCACTCGCCGGAAAGAGCGACATCATGCTCAGACCGCCAGAGGCCCCGTACAGTACCACAAAGGCCTTAACATTTGGTGCTTTGCCATTTGAAAAGCCAAACGCGGAGCGATTTTGAAAAGTGGGAAAATTCAAGGCTGGGCTCATGCCTGACAGTTGTGGTTTATCAGAAAACTTCATTTCTTTCCTTTGCTTGTTTTCTCTAACACACACTCAGTGTTCATTCTAAAAGTAGGAAATTAAGTTGCCATTCCTGGCTTTGTTAATCTGTTAATGCTGTGTTGTCCATGCCTGCTCTGGTAAGTCTGTGACAGTGCAGTGTCTCCACTGGTATGCAGAGGTTTCTTTCATTGTATCTGATTTTTTTTGTTTGGTAATTGCTGTTGAAACATTGAAATTTCCTTTTACATTTTGTATTTTTTTATACTTTTAACATTAAGTAATGTAAATGGGGATGCTTGTAGAAAAATAAATGAGCTTAATATTAATGTGGTCTGGTTTGACCTGGCTACACTGCTGCAAGCAAGTGCTCCCCCTAGTGGCTGCATTGAATTAACTTTTTGGACCATGTTCATATAGCAAGTGACTTGACCTGTAATGACAGGCATGCCATAGGCTGCAGTCTGTTCACTTTTATGATGTCAGCATGAAACTCCTCAGTCAGACTCCTCAATCAAACTAGAATGAAATTATATAACATTGTTGTCTGCTGTGAATTTTTTGAAGATAATTATGAAAGGGTGTGTTCTTGTGGAGGGCGAAAACATCCAGCCCAGGTTAGCGGTTACGCATGCACAAACCTCAATACTACACTTAAATCAGGGTAACATTGCTTCTGTACTATTGTAATTTAATCTGATTTTGAAAATAAGGAAACTGGAATAAATATACAACATTTTAAAGAGTAAACCTAAAATAACCTTGAGCCGGACTCTGGTTTTTTTATGTACAGTACTATGCAAAAGTATTCGGCACCCTTGGGAAATTGTTTAAAGGTATTTCTGTACAGCAAGTGTACATTTCCTCAAGAACAAAAAAAATAGCAATATATACAAATTAATCTTAGTGTAAGAATTTCTTGTTCTGTAAAATGTTACTGATAACTTGTTGGCTGGCCAGAAAAATATAGCTTTGGTCTCCAAAATTCTCCTTGGGGGAGCCCCGTTTCATTTTTTAAACTGCTCATTTAATTAATGAATTTAGTTGAGGTAATTATTAAACAAGGTGTATTAGTGGGTGCTGTCACGCCAGACGGGAAGGCGAGCAAGGAAGCAGGCGAGTAGCAGCCAGGAGTTAGGGAAACGGGGTTTATTTGGAGGAAGACGGACATCGACGGACACTACAATGACAAGTCTGGGGTACATCGACTGAGACACGGACTAAATGCACAAGACTAGGCAAACGAAACAGGAAACAGCTGGGCACAATCGGGAAAGCACACGTGGATAATGAGGGGGCGTGGCACACACTAGGAGCGGACGGAGCGGGGCGTGACAGGTGCATTCAACAAATACATGGAAATGTTGAATAACTGAAAATAATGGTGTAACTTTAGGTTTTGATATGGCTAAATTGCCACAAACAAAATCAGTTGTATAGAAATAATTTAGCTGCTTTAAACTTTGTTGACCAGTGTAATGATTAAAAATCAAGACATTAGCATCAGTCTGATGTGTCAATCTTGCCCGATATTTGAACAGTCAGTATTCGCAGTTAGCAGAGCCAGAGCTGAGTTAGGAGGCAAAAGCTGAAATAATGGAGATGATTGCATTGGATGATCAGCCATTTTCCATAGTCGAGGATGAGGGAATTCATCAGCTCATTGACCACTTACAAGAGGTCTCGAAGTACTGGTCATCGACATGTTTATAATAACTTACTGGGATCAATCTGAGCCGCAGATCGAGCTCTTAATTTGTTTAGCATTTCTAATGCTAAACAAACTTTAACCTTGTCTGCTCTTCTTTATAACCCCTGCTGTTCTGCCCCTTCTTCCTGTCATGTGATGTAACACAGTGCTGTCATTTCTTGATACAGCTTAGAGGGGAAATAGGGAGCTCCCCGCTAAGGCAGACACACGGAATTATTGTCATATAAGAATGAGATCACAGAGCTATGAATCAAGATTGCCATTCAAAAAATTATGAATCATGCAGCTCTACTCTGCACTACTGTCACCAGTTCTGGAGCAATAAAGAAATGACCACAGGTAACTTTAAAACACAATGACCAACAGCAGGTGACAAAGTAGGATTTACAACACAACTTTATTCTTAAGAGGTTCTGGACCAAAATTTTGTTGTACAGTACGCAACTGATGTAAACAGGAAGGAATGAAATCGCCCAAGTAAGGCCTCCGGAGAGGCTTGTGACCCTTGTAATGTGTCAAACATAAGCAGAGAGGTATGAGGTTAGAGGAGTAGGGTGGTATGCGTTGGTCTGAAAGTGTGCGCACACACACACACACACACACGTTGGGCTCAGTGCGGCAGATCATGGTGCACCAGCTTGTAATGGGAACCGCAGGACGGGCAGCGCTGGGGCTCGCCTGCATGCAACCAGAACCACACGACGGTGGTGTTATCTTCCTCACCTAGAGAGAGAAACCAGACCATCAGAGGATCAGAAATATCTCCTGACCCATGTAAAAATGCCAGGGATGTCCAAAAACTGAATTCCACAAAGTGTGCAGAAAGGGGTGAGCAATATGGCAAAAATACCAGACAAGATGGTGATCCACAATCTTATGATTCTCTTTCATGCTGGTTTTTAAGACTGGTTGAACTGTTCAGTAACTTGCCAAACAATCTAATTGGGCCTATTTTTTAACAAAAATAGCCCTATAAGAATCTGAAAAATCCAAAAAAGGTTCCATATTACAGGTGTTGAATTCTTTTTAGGGACCAACTCCTCAATGTGATCCATGCGGCTACGTTGCCAAACGGGGATGTGTGGCATGATGCACATTGCATGTTTGGGACAAGGGTGCAAAAGGGACAGGGGAATAAATCCAAGGCACTGCCTACTGTTTGCTATTACCAGTTTATTGTTGTGTCAAAATGGATTTGCCTGATGAAACAACTTTACATGCGTGTATGAGCCATAGAACTGCCACTGATAGAATGTGCACTGTATCACGATACTGACGACCTCGCCATTAAAGCAGATTGTGGAGCCATTTTAGTTGTTCATGATGTTATATTGTCAAATTGGACACCTCTAGCAGAAAGCACTTGGCACTTTTTTGTAATGAAACTGAATGAAAGTCTTATTCGAAAAGCTTGTACCCCAAATTAAATACAAACCCTTTCAGATATGACACCTTCTGCAATGCTTGTAAACCTTAAAATATACATTTTAGCCAAGTGGTCCCCACAGTAGGTAAAAATAGCTAAAATGTTTGGAGAGAGCAAAAGTTATAAATATGCCAATAATCGATGCTGTGTAGAAAACTAAAATGCTGGAAGACTGATGTAGACAATAGAAGATCAGAAATGCTTACAGACACAGCCGACAATCCTCTTGTTGGTAATTGAGGGAACCAGGTGTGGATCCTGTTTGGAACCTGCATATGACTTGGGCTTCAGCATGTTGTAGGGATCCTGAAAAAGAATTACTTAACATTAATGAATAAATCTAGAGATCTATCAAACCACAGGGACTGCATTTTCAAATGATTCATTCATATCAACTAGGATTTCTTCATTTTAAGGCCAGCTATAAGTCTAAAGTCGAAAAGCTATTCTTAATACGCACAACGCCCTCCTTCATCGCCCGCATCACGATCTTCTCCATACCGGTGGCTTGATCTTCGTCAGTCGGAATGCCTACAAAGGGTCCAGAGCAAAGATTTTTCTCCCAATACAACATTATGTGCCTGACTTTTGGCAACGTACCTCGCCATTGAAACACGTCACATTAAATGCGCAAAAACAATGAAAGCTTTCTAATAGTAAAATAGACACAGTTACAGCCAAGCTCGTATTTATATCTGTTGTGCTGTGCAAAAATGCTGAAGACTGACTCTCCTGTCCTTGGTAGTCCCAGGTGTAGAACTCCATAAACACGATTACCAACATTCCCTCATAATTAAGTAGGGGAAACAAAATGATGATCAAACACGATACCATGCATCACCGTGCTATTCCTAATAACGTACCTATCAATATTGGATTAATTTATGGAATTTCTTCTATAACCGCGGCCTGGCGATTAGATGGACATGCCCTTGGCAATATATCAAATCGACTACTGCGTTCATCCCGGGAGATACTGATAAGTTATTTCGTCGATTCTGGATTCTTAAAGACACCTACTCACCCCCAGCCATGCAACGGTGAAGGGCCGGTGCCGGGGCCGCCCGGCAAGTGACTGCTGCGCGGACGGCAGACCTAATGAGTAACCTTGCTGCCATTTTTCCTCCTTCGTCTTCTTCCGCTCTAATGTGAAAGGAACTGCCGCGTCGCACAATCAGATATGTCTCAGTCGCTTGATTTTGACGTGTAAAATGTCACGTGTTTCCCCTATTTTTGCCCTCCCTGTCGCCATCCTATGGTCGCCGTGGGATCTTCACGTCAACCGTGGATTTGAATCGCGCATGCGCGGCCGATGTGAGTTAAGCGTGATAAACTATCAAAATATTAAACAATTCAAGTAATAAACGACTGTAGATCATCTGCCAGACCTGCACCCTTACAAAATCTAAGGCTCATCTTATGATTTTGCATACATTTTCACAAAAATACTGATTACATTTAATTGTCTGTATTATCACTGTCATAACCCCTCACGGGAACTGGGCTTATATATTTTTTTGTATTTGGCTTGCTTTAAGTTCGTTTTCAGTTTTAGATTAGTTTTAGCGCATGCGTCTCTCACGTCCACGGTTGATTTAGATCCTGTAGCGACAGTCCGTCTTCTGGAAAGTTATGCTATTTAGTATTTACGCTGCGTTCGACCGCATTAATTTGTACAAAAATAAATCAATACAATTATATGTTTAAATGGTTTTTTACATAAAAGATTAATAACACCAGAATATTTCATACACGATAATAATAAATTGAACTAAATAATAAGTACATCAAATATTATAAAATATAAAGAAGATAATATTTCAGACAAACAGCTATAAATACATTGATATGGGCGCACAATTTACTTAAAGTAACCTTCTTAACACATGCAATGTACTTGTAAAATATTCTTTCTAGGTGCCGTCTCGTCGATGATAACTCCAAGCGACCTGCATGCAATTTCTGACAATGTCCTCCCTTTAGGCTGGCATGTTCATCGGTGCGGGCGACTTGTTGCTGGTCGCCCAGTTCTTCATTTACTATGAAATTATGGTCCTTTTCCTATGAGCTGGGTCTTACAATTTCCCCGAAACAAGTTACTGTACTTGTAAATGAGTACATCTCATATATGAACACGCGAGGGCACTATTCTCTCTCTGAAAAAAAGGAAAACATTATTCCTTTAAGACCGCTACAGTAAACTGTGCGTCCGTTTTACGTCGTCTTACATCGCTGTGCCGCAACCCTAATATAAAATCCAGAACCTGATTATTATTACGTAATAAATACTGTGTTATAATAGTGTTTGGCTCCGTGCCTTCAATTGGAAGGTAGCTTGTTCAAATCCTATGGCTGGCAGAGTGATTGTACTATTCGGTATTTAAGCAAGGCCCTAAAAGTGTTGTATATAACGTGTGTGTGTATGTGTGTGTGTCATTGGAGCAGCAGGGACAGCCAGCAAGGGCGGGCAGACAATGCTGCCAACTCTAGTCACCTAGCTGGAGTGAGATTTTCAGTTCAAGACAAGTCTGCACATGCATTTACATGTATGTAACAGTTTTATTACCTTTTAAATAGTCCGTAGGGTTTACAAACTATGCCAAAACTTTAGATGCAGCTAATTTTAGGTTTGTAATGGAATAAAATAGATTTTCTGTAAGATTTCTTGTGTGAAATCTCCCCAATGTGGCAAAAATGTTTCTTTATTCTTTCCTTTTTTCAGCATTTTCTGGTTCTTCAATTGTGTTTATACACATTAGTCACAGCATGAATGCTTGCTTATGATTTAATGCAGACATTATGGGTATTGTTGTAATTGTTGCTGTCTTTTGTGAATGTCTAATCCAAAGTTCATTGGCGGCATGCTTACAGTAACATCACTCTGTCCAATGCTTGACATTGCACTTGGTGATGTGAGGCTTGCATGCAGCTGCTCAGCCATGGAACCCTGTTCCATGAAGCTCCACATGCACTGCTTTTATGCTGGGGTTAATGCCAGAGGAAGTTTGGAACCCTGCAGTTACTGAGTCAACAGAATGTTGGAGAATTTTATACACTTTGCGCCTCCACTCTCCACGACTCTGGTCTGTTATTTTATGTGGTCTGTCACTTCATGGCTGAGTTTATGTTTTCCTAACTGCTTCCGCTTTGCAATAATACCACTTACAGTTGACTGTGGAATATCTAGCAGGGAAGAAACTTCACAAATCTTCACCTTGGGTGTCCATGACCCCATCACTGGTTCACTGGTTGGCCTAGGTTGGACCACTTTTGGTAGGTACTGATTACTGCACACTGGGAGTACCGCACAAGACCTGTTGTTTTGTAGATGTTCTGACCCAGTCGTCTAGCCATCATAATTTGTCCTTTGTCAATGTCATTGAGATCCCTACGTTCATCCATTTTTCCTGCGTCCAACACATCAACATCAAGAACTGCCTGTTTGCTTGCCTAATATAGCACCCTTGACATGTGCCATTGTACTGAGATAATGTTATTAATTTCACCTGTCAGTGGTTTCAATGCTGCGGCCGATTGGTTTAAATGGTTGAATAACCAAGGATCAAATACAAAGATCAAGGCTGCAGGAACTGAACGACATCCTTTGTATTTCCATCATTCATTATATTCAGTCACCTTCAGACTGGGGAGAGGGCATGCACACGAGGGTCCTACCTGTGAAATTGCTCATATCTACTTCTGGTTTACCAGTTGTCACTGCATTTAATCTGCATCACCAGCTGCAGGTGACAGATCATTTCCCCAAGAGAACCTATGGCAGGTGCTGCTTCTTCAGCAAAACTTCAGGACCAAAAGCCACAGGGTACATTGTGCTGCTGTACAGGACTCTCTGCAGAGAGGACTATTAGCTTTTGTTATAGACTTACATGGTGCGGTTTTGCTTTGGGTAGCTCTGCAGATTAGCACACAAGCTCCATTTCTTTTTCTTTCTTGCAGAACTATAGGACGTTTTCATGCATAGCAGTGTCACCACATTGGCCATGTGCAATTTATCCATATGGGTATATTTTTCTGCCAACCAATTAACATCACAGACACAGGATTTAAATCACAAAGAATGAACCACCAGTGGCCATCCGGTCCAGCATTTTAATTAATGTTTTAATATTAACAGGCGCCAGTGTGTTTCAGGGGCACCGGCAGCAAACACTCATGTTTCATGTCCTTCAAACAGAGCCGCATTTCATCCCCATTCATTCTGCTTCCTCTCTGCTGCTTGCTTGACTGACCACCCAAGATGCCGACAACACGTTTACAAGCCTCCTACCTCCTCTTCTGTCTCCTTCTCTCTGCCCCTCTCGATGTCTTCCTTTTTCTTTCCAATAATTTGCTTTTTAATGACATTGACACAAGACATGGTATAATACACATGAAAATGTATCGGTTAGCTGTAATCTTTAATGTTTTCCCCTGGCAAATAAAAAAGCAACAAAAGTAATTACACTTTATATACTAATAGTAGCTCCCTCAGTACAAACCTGCACTTGTCATATATTTATACACCTGTAATTGAACAGAATCTTACTACACGATTCTCCTTTGTGATTTAATCCTAAACAAAACGTGGTGCAGAGCGATTAATCGTTTGGTTCTCTTTCAGTGTAGAATATGTATTTAATCAAGCTCGGGAAATTGAATCTGAGTGCCAAAGTGGAGATCATTTAAATGCTAATGTGTTGTTATTTATATCCTGGAAGAGCCAAAGATTAGTCCATTTCCAGTTAATGACTGTGATTACATAGATAAATCCTGCATGGACTGACAGCCCTTTAATCTGACCTGTAAAGGGAACACCTCTGACACAATGCTACAGGAAGCTCCTGTGCATGACTGTTTCTGGCCCACACTGGGTTTAATAGAATTGGATCATCTTGAATTTCATTGGTTGTTGCCGCTGCACATCAACTTTCTGGAAATTAGTTTTTGGCAGGGTGTGGCCTGAGACAACAAACTGTAAACATAGCAGCGCCTGTGATCAGATGGTTGCCAGTTCAAATCCTGTGATGTCACTTTTGGGCCCTCGAGGGAGGCTCCCCCAATTCCTCCAGGAACTGCCTGACCCTGCATGCTCAAACTGTATATCACTTTCAATGAAAGAATCTGCAAAAAAATATGCATTTTAATTATGTGGGTGTAGAGATTTGTGTATACAATATGGCATCTCATCACACTTATTCCAGAGGATGTACTTTCTGTGTGACTGCCAGATGGGTCTTCATTTGTTATGCTGTCTGCATGCCAAAATGGTGTTTATCCACAGTCAAGGACAGATTGGTCGTGAATGTGCCATTGTAACGAAAAATATGATCTTGTCCAGGTGGGTGTAGGCACAGTGCAGCACTGGCATCGTCTATATGAACCTGGGCGAGATATGCAAAATAAAGGAGATCAAGTATTGACCAAATCAGGGGGTGGAGTATCTCCAGAACCAGTCTCTCAAAGCTCTTTATGCTTTGTAAGTAATCAGATGGAACACTGGGCCTTCTTGGTCACAGAAACCAGACAGACATGTACACTTGATACTGTTAGCATGATAACTTAAAAAGTATTTGACGAATCTGTCTTTGGGTGAAGAAATGGAAATGATCAAAGTTTGACACAAATCACACCAAAACTGAACCAATGCTGCTTGGTGTTAGCTTAGTGGGAAGGGAGACTGCAGAAGACCCTTGACCTTGTGAACATGGCAATTCAAAAACTATCTGATGAATCTCATACAGCTTCACAAAAACATTATATGATGAAGATCTAAACCTGTTTTCATTAAGGGACAAACTGCCCTAAAATTGAAGCAGTTGTGTTCAGTGGCAAAAAAGCAGAAGACACTTGGGGCCCTATTTTATCAATTTGAACCTCAGGGTCTGAAGTGCATAACACAAGTTCATTTAGGGTGTAGTCAAATCCACTTTTACTAGTTTAATGGCAGGTGCATGGTTCAACGGGTTGTACATAGTTTCATAATAAGTCATGGGTTTGGTTGGGGCACACCATGCCATAAGCCAATCAGAGTGTCATTCCCATTACTTTAGAAAACCAGGTGTACGCGCCTTGGTGGATGGCTGTTATAATGGCTGATTTGCCAGGTAGTAGAAAAGAGTTCTGCTCTGCCAAGGAAAAGGATCTATGACAATAGCAGGATTCCAGCAAAGCTCCCTGAGCTTTAAAATTATAGTAGATTGTAAAATAAATAAATAAATAAATGGTGCCGTTCTTCGGATGAGACATAAAACTGAGGTCTTGACACTCTGAGGTCATAAAAGATCCGTGGGCATCTTTCGAAAGAGTAGGGGAACTTCAATTTCCTGGCTAAAGTGCCCACTGTGGTCCTATCAGGCCTCCTAATCATCCCCTATATCTAATTGGTGAACCAACCCTGGGCAGCCGCTAAGACACCGCAGCGCACACGCACACACACACACACACACACACAATTACAGGGCCAATTTAGACTCGCCAATCAACCTGTCCTGCACGCTTTTGGACCGAGGGAGGAAACCGGAGCCCCCAGCCGAAACCCACACGAACATGGGGAGAGCGAGCGAACTGCACACAGGAAGGACCCGCGACCGAACCCAGGACCTTCCTGCTGTGAAGCAGCAACGCTAAGTTCAAAAATCATGGTGCCAAAATGAATTATATGCTTCTCGTTTGTTTACTTCTCTGCAAAACATTTAAACTTGTGTACATGGTGTAAGTGCAAAAGTGTTAATGCAGTTGACAGAAAGCTTCCTTCAGTGGTAAAGTATAAGGACAATAGTTAAAAATAGAGGTTTTATTGGATGATAAAATTAGAAATTGCTTGTCATCAGCCACATAAATCTCAAATCTGCAATTCATGCCTGTCACTTAGGCCTGTTCCACCCAGTTAGAAGGGCAATGGGAATGACTCACTGTAATTACTTCAAATATGCTTTTATAGTTGTGAGAGTTAAGTAGATTTAAAAAATGGACCAAAAGCAATTGAGAAAACCTGTAGAACGATGCTGATTGTACTTTATATTTTGATGGCACTGACCATGGTGCTTTGCAGTACAGTATGCATGATCTGTTCTGAGAAACGCTGTTATAGTATTGAGAATGTTAAGTAGCCTGTGTTTCACGAAATGTGCCAAAGTCATCGAGAAAAACTGTAATTTTACCCGTAAATTTGCCCTTAAAACTAAAGGCTCTTCAAATTATGCTATTCGCCAGTCATTAACAAGGACCAGAACACCAAAGCGAAGAACTCCTCCCTTCCTCCCTTCGCTCTTCACCTAAAACTAGCCTACCTGTGTTTTGTGGCTGCAAGCTGCTCTTCTCCCGCATGGATGCCGCTTCGTGAAGCGTCGTAGCCATTCGAACGATAAACGGTAAGTTGTACCTGCCTGATTTTTTTGATTAATCACCCTGTCTGATGAGAATGTTAGGGTTTGCAGGGCATATGTCATCTTTGCAATAAGTGTAATCCTGCAGATATTTAAGAACAAAGTGGTTGATCATTATTAACTTTACACACGAGGCTTTTACATTAGCTAAAATCCCTAATTTTCCAGATTATTTGTATTTATTTTTCACACTCATGAATTAAAAAAACCCCCACATTTCTCAGTATTGGTTAGTATTGGTTATATAACTGTATAGTATTGAACGATTGATGGATCAGTTCTAATATCACAGTAATCTCTCCAAATTAATAAGCAATCGACATGTTTTTTTTCCTGTTAATCAGCGTAATTTGTATAGTCATACATAAGACTAAACAAATTAACGTTTCTGCGACTGTTTCAGTTACAATCTTTTGTTTTTGTTTTTAATTTTAATAAAACGTTAGTAATTTTTTTAGTTAAAGCATTCTTTCTGGAAGGGGTGAAATAGTTTTAGACGTTTTATTTCATTAATACCACTGCAAGTAAACACTTGTCTTCTCGAAAGATAAGACTACATTTACCTTGGAGTATTTCTAAATGAAACATTGTATAAGTAGACAACATGGTTTTTAAATAGGATTTCAAGTGTTCCTTGAATGTTACACATTGAGATTAGCGGGGAACATTGAGAAGGGGAAACAAGTGAGACTATTAAAGTCTGGGCTGTTTGATGCTCCGCCGCTGTGTCATTGTTAAACCGGGCTGAGTGTAATTTCTCCTGCCAGCTAGCAAACGCAAACCGTATAAAATCTAGTTACAGAAATGTTTCCCGCTGAGATATTTAAAACGAGTGTATGTGCATAAATTGCAACTGTTTGAAAAGTATCGACATCAGTACAATTATAATTGTAAGGTGTGCGATGAATGTGGTTTAAGCCTGAAGTATATTGCAGTGGAAAATACAGATGAAAATAAACAAAGATGATGGTTAACAGAATTATTAAAAACACCTGGCAGAACTATTTCTGAAAGATCCATAACCTAAAACGGTCTAGTAAAATAAAAGGATTTTTGAATCGGTGAAGAAACACGTGGTAAAGAAATATACGCGAGGAATCAGTTTAACGTTTGCTGGACATATTTCCTTTGCTACAGGTTAATAAAGATCATCTTAGCATCTTCTAACTTCTTATCCTGGTCATCCTACTGTAGTCACTGGAGTAGCCTACACAAGTGTGCAGGACCTCCTGGATGAAAGGGTGCTGGCCAACCTCGATCAGGGCGCATACATACACTTATGGAAAGAATTAGAGACACCGATTAGCCTAAATGCATATTTTTGGACTGTGTGAGGAAGCTGGTGTATAATGATGATTTAAACAAACAATCTATGCCAGGTCTGAGTATGATACACTGTCAGAAAGAAGTGTACAGCCCGTGTACAGTTTTGTTCCCTAAGATACAAACAACAGTAATGTATCCCCAATTAGGGGTGTGCGATATTAGGTCGTGAACGATTAAAATACCTCCACACGATCTGCCTTTATGGTGCTACATTCTATCAGTTGCAGTTCTTATCAGGCTACATTTTTAAAATAAGGGAATTAGTTATTGTACTGTTAAGTAACTTGCAAAATACTATTAAAAATTAACATGAAAAAAAAAATCGTGATAAGGTGGTGAATCGTGATCCTGCATGAAAAGAAATCGTGATATGATACTTTTGTCATTACCTAACCTACCCCATATGGTACAAAATGTTTCTCAGAGTCTATTTCTGTATATATATTCTGTATATTTCTGCTATAGCCTCCAGTATTTTAAGCGTAGTATTTTAGCCCCGGTGCCAATCTTCCTTCAAAATAAAAAAAGTCAAGCCCCAGGTAAACTTGACTTAGCCCCTGATCTTTTCAGTAGCTATAAACTCCCCTGGTACGAATTGGTACTTTTTTTCTGACAGTCTAGCGAAAGTAAATTAGGGAATAAGATTTCTGGCTTTTAACCTTGGAGAGGTACTGTTTGGCCTCAAGTTAGACATTTAATGTGAGTTAATTTAACAGTCCTGAATAAAGCCCGAAATTAGGGCTGCTGAAACATAAATAAAAGACTAAGGCACCTCATTACCGGTAGCCTTGGCATAACAGCTGATTACAGGTGCCCTTTATCCAGGCTCAGTCTGCCGGAATTAAATGCAAACTGCAGTTTCTGTTCAGCAGAGCTTCACTAGTCATGAGGGTTTCTGTTTTTGTGCCACATTACTTCAACTGACGTGAAACTGGTTGTTTTTTGCTCTAACTGACCATTATCTTATCTTTCATTGCCTGCTGGGTATCTCATTGCATTGGCACACATCACTTTTCCATATAGTAGATTCTTTTAAAATTTTCTTCCAAAATTATTTTCTTTGTTTTGAGTTAATTTTACTGCTGTTGGTTCTTTTCAGTGGATCCAGCCTTTTCCCACTAAATGCTTACAGTGGTGTTCAGGATCTTTTAGGTAGATGACTATAATTTTCTGAAGGACACCATAAACGTCTTTCTTCTTGCTAAAACTCTTGACATTTATGGTACAACTGTTACTTCCCGGACTTTTCAGATGGGTGTAAAATCACATTGAAGAGAAAGAGGTGGAGATGATGACAAATGTTTCGGGGTGTGTTGTTTGTTAGGAGTGCAGACCTGCTTTAAAAATGCAGACATGATCACCTCATGCAGGAGACAGTTTTGTTGTAGCCTCTGATATTTTCTTTCGCTGCACTAGGAAGTACCACATTAAACATATGGAAAGGTAGCTCTACTGAAGATGTTATTTGAAAGATGACATGTTTCCTGGAAGGCCCTGAACCCATCCATCATCCACGCCTTCTTGTCACAGGAGTCTGGAGCCTATCCAGGAAGATATATGGGCACAAAGAAGGAAATAACCCAGGATGGGGTACCAAACCATTACAGGGCACACGCACATGCATGCACGCACGCACACACACCTATGGACAATTTGGCAACTGCAATTCACCTTAGCATGGCACAGGGAGAACATGCACAATCCACACACATAGGAACAATATAGAAACTCAAACCCCAGTCCTAGAGGTGTAAAGGCCAGTGCTATCCACTGTGCCACTTTGCACCATCATATGAAATTGTTTATTCAAGTGAACAAGAATTCTAGAAGCTAATAATTTCTGCATCATTAGTAAGTCACCCAAACCTGTTCCATCCAATTAGAAGGGCAATGGTGATGCCTCCATTGTAATTGCTTCAAATTCTGGAACACTGCAAAAACAGTGTAAGTTATTCCTGACACCACTGTATGTCGTTTGCCGGAGTTTTAGGTGTTAGGTGGGACCTACAAAAGAAACTTTACTTTAAACTCAACAATCTACCTATGATATTTTGTTGTTCATGGTCTTAACACTCTATTTCAAATCAACCAACAGACAGCTTTCAGCAGAAAGATCCACATTAAAACAAGACTAAAACCATAGCAAAAGCGAGTGGGGCAGGAGGAAGCAAGAACCGCTGAGCAGACGATACCCAGAGCTCCAGGCAGCTCATCTGCGTTCATCAAACCTATCTTTCCATGGGGCCTTGCACAGTGGGCAGGCAGCAAAGGGCAGATGGTACAGGAATAGCATGTTTGTAATAATGAGGGGTCAGAAGGGTATCCTAGCAACACCCATCTAACTTTAGCGTCTGATTCAATCATAAGATATAACATTTAAAATGAAATGCTTGCTTAAATCATAAGTATTTCAGCAGTGTAGGGTCGGATAAAACTGCAACACCAGTGTGAAACAATGACAAACATATGGGCATCAGTCGATACAGAATTACAAGAAAATAATCACAATGTATTAAAATTCAGAACAGTAAAAGGTGACAGTTTACAACAAATTCAACAGGTGTTTTTGCGTAAGAATAAAATCATGTTCATAAAAAATTTCAGCTGACCCTAGAACGTCAAAGCACAGTGCTGAAGGACTCCGCTGGACCAGTAGGTGTACCATCTGAGGTTAGGCATCATCATGTCTCAAGGTCATTGAGGTCATGTCCTGACCTCACTTTGCTCTTAAATGATTACTCTCGCTATCTGCACCATTATACCAACAACAACTGTTTTGTAGCTATAATATGAGGATGTAGGAGTGTGTGTGGGGAGGTGGTTGAAGCTCTGGGGTATTTTGTTACTTGAAAGATGTATGTCCATGTGTCTTTGTTTCACTATGGTGGGTGTAGGGCCTTCTGACAGCTAGCAGAAGCAGCATCTTCAGACAGATACCAGTGTTATTTTCGTGCTGCCTCTGGGTTGCTCTTAGCAACACATTTCGCAGGTCACATCACTCCTCTTGGATACAGGAGGATTATGACACTATTGTATCAGCACACAGCACTGAAAAGATTGATTGTGATGTCCTGTGAGACACAGAGGAACCTGTTTCTGTGTGTGTCGCTTTTGAGTCCACAGAAAAGCAGAAACAGGGCTTTTCCAACTATCTCAGTGAACTTATTTGATATAGGACTAATCTTTCAAAACCATCAAGATACAGGGACCATTAGTTATTAATGAGGTTCCTCTTCTACAGAGACCATGGGAACCAGCTAGTGGTGGTTAATTTGATGATAACATGACCGGTTGCAATTCTTTCCACGATAAGCGTATTAGAATTACTGCAAGAATCGCGACATGGCACTTACCCATTTACATTTACATTTACAGATGTTTGAACTAAAAAAATCAATTGATGTTTTCTAATCAGTAAGTTAACTTGGTAAAACAAACAAAATAATATAAAAGTATTGCACTCTTGTTACGTGATAAACAACACATGCTGTCAAATAAAAAATTGCGCGGGATGGCTGAGGAAGAATTGGTTGTAAAAAAGGTTCTACTTCGATTGTGTGGAAATGGTTTGGATTTGCAATATCATGCAATCTACTGTAACTTGCAAACTTTGAAAATGTAAGGATGGATACTGTTTAGTCTCCATGGCCACGCCCCCTTGCCCAGTCCCACACAGTGTTATAGGCTATTGACAGCTATTCTGCATCCTGCCTTGTGATTACCTTGGTGTCGTAACCTATGTCCAGTTACCTGGAAGTGCCTGAGCTCTCGCATGTGTGGTATCGCGTGTGTGTAACTCCTGATGCCCAGCCCGGTGAGTGTGTGTGTTCCAACCCCCTCTAAGTGTGCTTGCTTGCACTGATATCCTCATGTATACACTACCCAGCTTTTCGACCATGGCATCTGTCTATGACCTTGATTCTCCTGTACTGTTTTGGCTACCTATGTGCTTTGCATTTGGATCTCCCATTTGCAGTCTGTCCCCTGACAGCAAAGGTACTGTTCATACAACAGGGGCCAACAAAAACACTCTTATTTAGGCCATCTATTATTGTCTCTAGAAGTCTGTATGTCAAAAATTTTAAACTTTAAAAGTAAAAAAAATGAAAAGCTCTTTTTCTAAAAAACAGTCATGTTCTTTAATATGTAAAGTATTTAACATATTTTAATAATTATGTTACTTATTATCATAATGCTACAGGCAGCGTGAGGACTGGTGCATTGCTGGTTAAGTGGTTAACACTACGATAAACATTCCAATTTGTTTGATTCGGAAACAAAACATTGCGAGCTATGCCGTGGATTGTGATTCTAACCAAAAATATCATGATGGCATTTTTGCCATAACACCCAGTACCAGCTATGTATCATTTTGTAGCTTTTTTACCTAGATATGCTCTTTCTTGGATCACAGACAATACCATAAAATAACAGGAAAAGCAGCCTTCTGGGACCAGGGCCGACCACTCCCAGCTCATGAAAAGAGAAATAGATAAGCTACTGCCCCTGTGACTTATTATTAACATAAGGGCACGTTTTCCATCTTTATCTTTCTAGGGCAGATATAGCACTGTGACACTGATTGACAGAGTCATCCGACCTATACAATTCATCATCCGTTTCATTTGCTTGTTTGTGTCCTATGATTGTTACAACATGGTTTTCTTCTTAATGAATAGGACAGCACCGCAGCCCCTGAGCAGGATAAGCGGGTGGAAGATGGATGGATGAGCAGAACCACCCCCTTATCCTTTATTTAATAAGACATTCATATGGAAAAGACAAACACCAGGACAGAGGCGTACCTGTGCTTTATCTTGCAGGTGCAGCCACGAGGAGATCGCAGGTGATCGGAGAGTATGTGCTTACGGTGGTATGATGGGATACCGCGTTAAATAAAAGGGGGCAAAGACGGGACCTGGGAAACCACGATCCGCAGCTCAGAACCTGATCTGAGGTGAACCTCCTCAACGAGTACAAGGACCCCCTCAGCCATCTTCCTCAGGGTGCCGTGGAGACGACGACTCCCTTGGACATGAACAGCAGCCACACGTGGGGGGAGGCAGCGTGGGCAGCTGGCGAGTGCCCGCCTTCAGTGGGTAGTGCCACCTTCCAGGTGGCGGCATACAGCACCTTGCTTGCCTTGAGCCTGGTAGGCAATGCCTGCCTGATGTTGGTGATTGCCCGTCAGTGGGAGCACCACAATGTCACCGTCATCCTCATCGCCAACCTGTGCTGCTCTGACATCCTCATAAGTGTGGTGTGCCTGCCGGTGACAGTGGTCTACACGCTAATGGACCGCTGGGTGCTGGGCGAGGCGCTCTGCAAGGCCACACCCTTCATCCAGTGCACTTCCGTCACTGTCTCCGCCTTCTCTCTGGTGCTCATCGCCCTGGAACGCCACCAGCTCATCGTTCACCCCACTGGCTGGATGCCTGTAGCTGGCCACACCTACCTGGCAGTAGCCATCATCTGGACAGTGGCTGGTCTCCTCTCACTGCCTTTCATGTTATTCCACATCCTCACTGATGCCCCGTTCCACAACGTAACCTTGTCCGTCGGCAGCCCTGGGGACCATCTGGTGTGCATGGAAAACTGGCCGTCGGAGCAGGAACGGTTAACCTACACCACCTCTCTGCTGCTGGCGCAGTACTGCCTGCCGCTGCTGCTTATCCTGCTCTGCTACCTGCACATCTACCTGCGGCTGCGTCGCCGGAAAGCCGGAGGCGGGCCGGGCCGGGGCAGTGACCGGGCGCGGCACATCAACGTCATGCTGGTCTGCATCGTGGTGGCGTTCGCCCTCTGTTGGCTGCCGCTTCACGTCTTCAACACTCTGTTTGACTGGAATGACCAGGCCTTGCGGTCCTGCCAGCACGATGCCGTCTTCTCCGCCTGTCACCTGCTGGCCATGGCCTCCACCTGCGTCAACCCCATCATCTATGGCTTCCTCAACAGCAACTTTAAGAAAGAGCTGGGTGCCATCCTGCGGCGTTACCGCCGGGGCCGCCAGCAAGTCCTGGGCCGCCGCCGCTGGGAGCCACTGGAGAGCTATGAGAGCGTCCCTCTTCCCACCCTGTCTACCGACGTCGCTAAACCGGTGGCAGCAGGCCGGGGCTCCCCCCGCGCCCAGGATGCTGAAATGGCCCACTGCAGCTAACACAGCTGAGCCGCCCCCCCTCGCTGCTGTAGCTGGATGAAAGGGTGTTTCTTTTCTCTCTTTGCAGTGTAATTCCAGAGTGGAGCTGGGAGCCCAACTGGACACAGACTGAAAGCTGACTGGCTTTTGATACTGAGTGGGTCATGTGGTGTGACCTGCACTGTGTAACCAGTGTAAACTTCAAGGCGAGTTCATACCAACTCAGACGTGTCTGTCATCGTGTCACGGTGCTGCCATTTGCCAAGGCTATAGCAAGACCCAGAACATGTGCGGAGCCTCCTATGATCTGTGTGGGGGTGGCAGGACTGTTATATCACAAGAGTATTATTATATTCATATACAGTATGTATTATACATTTGCTTCTCAAGAGGAAATGCACTTACTGCAGTGGGTGATCACTAAGGGGGCAAGGGGGCAAGGCGTTGAATCTGAATCATCTGGCTTGTGCTGCTTTCTTCAGCCTTAGACTCCTCACTATGGTTCTCTACATGCATTGTTATACCCATGGTGTTCTGTCTATCTGTATGTTTGGCTTGATCTCTCTCACTTTGAGTTTTAATAGGCTTGTGTTGTATATTAAGTAGTATTTTACATATTCTCTGCACCTCTCCATGTGTCGTATCTAAACGTGCAGTAAAAGCTTGATCGTGAGCATCTAAGGGGCTCTACAGGGAGCCTGATGACTGTTCGCTCACTGTAAGCCTTTCAGTGATGCTGTTATCAGCCTGACCATATGATCATTTAGCTGGATATATTGAAGAACACTTTGCAGTTATATATTCTGGTAAATATAATAAGAAAAATCATACCAAAAGATAATTTGTTGTATGAACTATTGTAAATTTCATGGGTTGTCGTCTAGATATTTAATTTACTTTGTAATATATGTATAAATTATGAATAATGTGAATGTTTTTACAGTGTATATCAAAATTTTAAAATTTGAAAGGCAAGTGAAAAATCATAAAAACGGTGCGTAAAAGATTCTGTAAATGATTTTAACATATTTCTCAAGAATTAAGGGATTCAAAAAAGAGAAAGATGCTGGTGAAAACGTTTCTTGCATTCTTTAGCTTGTTTCCCTCAGCTCTGTATACCTTCAGCTGCTCTCACACTTACTGTAAGAGCGAGCTTAACCTCGTGCAGTGTCCTGTTCCCCTTCATGATCGCACAGAGCTGCCTGACAAACCACCGTCCGTCTGCAGTGCTCTGAGTCAGGGGGCTCCCGTAGGTCTTTTCAGATTCAAGTCTCCAGTTTTGGAATCTAGTGAGTTTTCATTGCTCTGATATTCTGAATGAAACAAAGATCCAGGGACAGCATTGTATTCTAAACACTAGGGATGGATCTTTTGGGGGGCAATATGACAATAATGCATCATAACTGTTTGCAGTTGTATCCACAATAAGCAGTTCATAGTTGTCACAAGAATCACGATACTGCACTACATTTATATTTACTATTATTTAGCCAACATTTTTGTCCAAAGCGATTTACAAGTGAGGCATATATCACATACCAAACATACGTACTGTCAAGGAGTCAACTAGGCAGAAATGCAGCTAGGCTGAGCTTCCAATTAATGTCCAGTTACAAGTGCACCACTTAACACCACTTAACACTATTATTATAACAACATAATAAACTGGCAAGTGTCTATATCTGTGTTGTTAATAAATAAATCTGGAAAGAAATAAATGAATAAATAATCTTTGGTATAAATACGTCTTTTTCATGTCTTCATTTATTTATGGCAAGGATTTATTTTTTGTTTATTTCTGCCAACAATGTATTTATTTCTAAGTCATGTTTCAAACTATTCATATTCTGAATCAGACACAATCGGAGATTAAGGGCCTTGCTCAGGAACCCAATGGTGAAATCATTCTGCTGTTGCTGGGATTTGAACACCCCCCCCCCTTAAACTATACTCATGATTCTAAATGGAATGCTGGCGTCCAAGTGAGACACCCCCAGACAATGAAGAGCTCTTGAAAATTCAAGATTTTTGTCACATGAACGAATTTAGAGGCAGTGTGTGTCTGTAATTAGAGGGTCATCGGTTCAAACCCACCCTCAGCCTTGAGCAAGTCTTTGTGCAAGACCCTTAACCCCCAGCTCCTTGGGTGCCCCAACAGGTGGCTGCCCTTTGCAGACAGCTTACTCTACGAGTAGGGAGGTGTAAAGACAATTTCCCCATGAGGATCAATAGAGTATCGATTATTATTTTTATAATTAAACTGCCGCTACTACGGACTCCAGTTGACAAGGTAGAAGAATATAGGTTATAAGGAAATATTTGAGAATAAATATACACTGCTCAAAAAAATTCAAGGAACGCTTATTAATCAGAGTATAGCATCAAGTAAACTAAACTTCTTGGATATTCATCTGGTCAGTTAAGTAGCAGAGGGGGTTGTTAATCAGTTTCAGCTGCTTTGGTGTTAATGAAATTAACAACAGGTGTACTTGAGGGGCAACAATGAGACGACCCCCAAAACAGGAATGGTTTAACAGGTGGGGGCCACTGACATTTTTCCGTCCTAATCTCTTCTGTCTGTTTTTTCACTAATTTTGCATTTGGCTACAGTCAGTGTCACTACTGGTAGCATGAGGTGATACCTGGACCCTACAGAGGTTGCACAGGTAGTTCAACTCCTCCAGGATGGCCCATCAGTACGTGCCAATTGCCAGGTTTGTTGTGTCTCCCAGCACAGTCTCAAGGGCATGGAGGAGATTCCATGAGACAGGCAGTTACTCTAGGAGAGATGGACAGGGCCATAGAAGGTCCTTAACCCATCAGCAGGATTGGTATCTGCTCCTTTGTGCAAGGAGGAACAGGAAGAGCACTGCCAGAGCCCTACAAAATGACCTCCAGCAGGCCACTGGTGTGCATGTCTCTGACCAAACAATCAGAAACAGACTTCATGAGGGTGGCCTGAGGGCCCGACATTCTCTAGTGGGGCCTGTGCTCACTGCCCGGCACCGTGGAGCTCGATTGGCATTTGCCATAGAATACCAGAATTGGCAGGTCCGCCACTGGTGCCCTGTGCCTTTCACAGATGAGAGCAGGTTCACCCTGAGCACATGTGACAGAAGTGAAAGGGTCTGGAGAAGCCGTGGAGAATATTATGCTGCCTGTAACATTGTTCAGCATGACCGGTTTGGTGGTGGGTCAGTGATGGTCTGGGGAGGCATATACATGGCTACCTCTACAGGCTAGACAACGGCACCTTGACAGCCATTAGGTATCAGGATGAAATCCTTGGACCCACTGTCAGACCCTACGCTGGTGCAGTGGGTCCTGGGTTCCTCCTGGTGCACGACAATGCCCAGCCTCATGTGGCGAGAGTATGCAGGCAGTTCCTGGAGCATGAAGGAATTGATACCATTGACGGGCCCCCACGTTCACATGACCAATCCAATCAAATAGAACACCTCTGGGACATTATGTTTCGGTCCATCCGATGCCACCAGGTTGCACCTCAGACTGTCCAGGAGCTCAGTGATGCCCTGGTCCAGATCTGGGAGGAGATCCCCCTGGACACCATCCATCATCTCATTAGGAGCAGCCCCAACGTTGTCAGGCATGCATACAAGCACATGGGGGCCATACAAACTACTGAGCACGATTTTGAGTTGCTGCAGTGAAATTTCAGCAAAATGGACTAGCCTGCTGCATAATTTTTTCACTTTGATTTGTCTTTGAATTCAGCCTCTGTAGGTTGATAATTTTCATTTCCATCAATCGATGTGGCATCCTTTTGTTCCTAACACATCACCCAGTTCATATCAGTATAGATATCCAGCAGGATTTTCCCCCCCATTGAAAAATGATGCGTTTTCAAAGTGTTCCTTTAATTTTTTTGAGCAGTGTATAAGCACAGACTGCATTTATAACTTATATTACTTGGCGGTGTTAATGATCCTAATGTCCTGGGGGCAGAAGCTTCTTCTCAGCCTCTCAGTCCCAGCCATAAGGCTCTGGAAGCGCCTACAGTTTATGGTATGGGAGCAGAGTATCGCTGATGATACTTAATGCTCTCGACCTAGAATTTGGATATAGATGTCCAACAGGGTGGGAGTTTTGTCCTGGTGATTCGCTCTGTGCACCGTATCACCCTCTGCAGTTGCCGTACCAGGCAGTGATGCTCTCAGAAAGCACAGATCCCACGGTAGAGCTGCAGAAGGTCTTTTGCAACACTGGGATGAGTTTGAATTTCTTCAGCTGCCTCAGGTGATATGGCCGCTGTCTAGCTTTCTACACAAAGGTGGATGTGTGGGTTGTCCATGTCAGATGTGTACTCTGAGGTACCTGTAGCTGCTCTCTCCACCAGAGTCCTGAAAATCTGGGGGGGCTGTGTACTTTCTCTGCTGCTCCTTCCTGTCCTGGTTGTTCTCCTGGCAGCACAGAGACAGCTCCTCCACCTGTCCCCAAAGATCACTGCCGATAGGCTTGTGTGGTGTTGGAAGACGTCAAGGTGCTGCTTTTGGTACAATGTAATATTGTCTGCCTGGTCTGTTTGTTATGGGCCCTTGGCAGTATAGCCATCAGAAGGTATCCTGAAACCCTGGGGAATCCTGCTCCATTGCTGCTCTAGCCAGCGTTACCTCTGTCCATTACCCTTCCTTTCCAAAATTGGATTTATGCTTGATTAGATGAACAAATACATGAATCACTTTAACATAAAGGTGTGAAAAGGCCACAAAGAGGCTGCCCCCCCTGTGCACGAAGACTTACAATGCAATGCAATACAATGCAAGTCCTCTCATTCGAACAGAAATTCATTTCCCTGCTTTTCGCAATTGCAAACAGAGAGAGTAAACCGTTTGATTGTGTCTTACCACTGACCCGCTATTTACTTGACAAGCTAGTGAAAGGGCAATGGATTTTATATCTTATGCATTGTCTTACACCACCAATGCCCTTTTTTACACCACAACAGCCACACAAAAGACCACATTGAGGTTAGATCAGGGTTAAAGTATTCCTTACTTAAAAACAAGATTATCAGGCATACAGGTCCACAGAGTGGGGATATTAACAAATACGTATAGGGGATAATATCGTAGAAACAGAGTTAAAGCAACAATGGGGACATCCAGATAACATATTCCTTTGTTTTTTTTTACTGAGATCTGGAGCGTAGCCCATGCTGCCGCATTACTCATATATTAATTTGCTGAAATCAATGGATGCAAAAAAAAAAGCAAACAGCGACCTCACTCCTGTCCATTATACATCAGGCTGCGGTCACCTATGTGAGGATGGCTGGTGTTTGTTTTGTTAAATGCCTGCTCAAATAAAACAACATGACTGCTTGTTCAAAGCTACTTCTTGCCTCTATTCTCCAACTGCTAAATAAATCCTCTGGAAAAAAAAACTATCATATAGTCTACCTTTATGCACACATATTTCAATCTGTAATTTTTAAACCGCAGGCTTGGCAAACACAACCCAGGCTGAGCAAGAGTTATGAGTGTGCCACAAATAATTATGTCAGAGAATGAATTATCCATTACATGGCTGGGTCCCTCTGGAACCTTGTCTGCAATCCAAGATGTAATGACATCTATTGGCAAAAGGCAATACTGCCTCAAATGTACAACATATTTAATAGCCTCATCTATGTCAGTCATCTTTTTGATCAGCATATTTTGAGCCACAGTATTCCACTCATAAAGAGCAATTCATCAGTAGTCCAGGTGTCTCGAAAACAACTCATACCCATTACCACTTTATGATTAATATAAATGACGGCGTCTACATCAACTTATCAATATAACTATTAATGCATCACTACCAATACCACAGCTAGAAATGTTATTTCAGAACATAATTCCATATTCCCGCAGAAGAGTTAAGGGAATCACAGACAAGACCTACAAGAATGACATCCATAGCATGTCTGACCCAATGCCTTCGGCCGTAAGCGTCTCTGTAAGTCAGGACTCTGTGCACATGATTGGAAAGTTACTGCTTGAGTTCCTGTGGCTGGCAGAGTGGGCAAGGCCTTTAACCCCAGCTGCTCCACAGACGCTACTCTACTCTGCTCTTACTTCACTCTGGACACAACAACTGCTGAGTAAATGTTGATCCACGAAGAGGTCTCACAAAATCAAGACACAAGGGCTAAACAAGCACAATTTTAATAAACCTTTTCACTAAAACAATAAAGGCTTTGCAGACAGATGTTACTTTAAAAAAAAAAAAAAACATTCATTAAATGTACATAATTAGTGTGCAATTACACAGTAGTAAAGACAAAAAGGCCAGATCACTCTTTACAGGGATAGTAGGGGGTGCTTTTGCTTTTACTCATTGCTGCTGTCGTCATTGTCCTCATGGGGCTGCCCGTCCGAGCTGTCCCTCTCTGGGTAGTTGAGGATGTGTCTGTTGGCTTGGATGAGGTACTGCTGCTGTTTGAAGTAGACCTTCAGGATACCCTTGATGATCACAAAGGCGATACCTCCCTGAAAGGGTGGACAGATGGGCAGCTGCATTCCAGGTTACCGCTATCATTTTAGATCAACTGCCTTCTTAGTTTATAACACTCGCTATTTAAAACGGCGTTTCTCAACCCGCTCCTTGGGAGGGAACAAAAACGTGGACCGTCTAAGGGTCCCTGAAAACCAGATTGGGAATCACTGATGTGCACGACAGCATTCATAGTCGCTGTATAGTGTGAGACGTCTGTCACATTATTTCCTAGGACGGTTATACTTTTAGCAACAGTTACTCTGAAACACTCCATAAGTTATACTAAATGGGCAAGAGTTTTCAACTGCGGGTCTATAGAAATGTTTTGTAAAACTTAAAATGCAGTGTCCTACTCTTTATGTAGTGTTACCTGCCACCATAATGTCATCATCCCCAAAGCAAAGCATGTTTTTATAAGATCATGCATTAATGGTAAAGGGGACCCTAGCAGTGGTCTATTCTCATTTGGTAGGAATGAAAGAAGGTTAAAAAAATCCCCAGTGTATGGTATTCTTCCAAGTCTCCATATATAGTGAAGAACATCCAGCACTTTGTCACATGGCTTGATAAGAGCCCAGTGCTCATCCCTCCATCCCAGAGCCACCCCTCACCAGAACGGTGCGCTGCAGGCTCGATGGAATCCTTCTGAACATAAGGCGGCCGACCAGGTTAGCGATAGTGGGAAAGACCAAGGCACCACAAAGCGTGCGTGACACAGACAGGTGGTCGCTGCTGTAGCCCGCGTCGGCTGGCACACGTGGCAATGGCCGCCCAAACCCTGGAGAGGAACACAGAGAGCTCTCAGCCACAAATCATTCACTACTGTCCCCGTGGAATTTGGCACCACCATGTCAGCTGAGTCACCTGCCAGATTCAAGCATCCTCCATTTAACTACCCGTCTAATCTAGTATAACTAGCCATCTGATCTAGTTTAACTATCCATCTATCTAGTTTTCATAGGAGTGGTCAGGCTGGATGCTGAACCATCCTATTTATGCCATTCCAGGCAGCACATTTATGGACCGGCATGTGCTGCAGAAGCACAGCTGAATATTCAGGTTAAGTCATAACATTCCTCATATGTAAATCCAGGGCCCATCGATCCACCAAGAGGATCCCAGCTAGTCACCAGGGAGGAGAAGCTGCAGCTTGGTGGAGTGCTTCTGCCACAGCCGGACCACGTAGTCCTCCCAGCGGATCATCTTTCCCAGGACCAATATGACCGGTATAGTAGGCAGACCCATGAGCAGGAACAGGGGGTCGGCCCGCTCCATGACATCCAGCCCCTTCTTGTGTCCAACCACCTGTGAGCACAGAAAATGAACAGGAAGCCTTTTAATACATGTGACTTACAGGACTGCCTGCCCATTAACATCGGACGGGATTCCAGCAGCCCCAAAACAACCAGACCAAACACCCCAGTAGTAACTCATCTGTTCCCATGACACACCTGCATGACTGTGACGGCGCCATACGTCACTGCTGACCAGTAGACGGTGCCCACTACCACTCCGGCTGCTGCGAACGGGCTGGCCCTGGACAGGGTTCGGTCCACCTGCTGGAGGAAACACACAAGGGGCCCTGTGGTGGAAGGCAGGGGTACAGAAGTTTATTCCACTTCTTGTTCAGTAACTGCAACATTTTACACTGCACTTCAGCCTTTACCAACATTCCTTAAGTGACTGTTCTGACACTTCATCACTTAACCATACACAATCCTAATGTACAGAGTTAGCAAAAGACAGTGATGAAGCGAGGAACGGAACCAATAACGCGGTGGTTCTCGCGGGCCATACCCATTTTGGGGAAGACGATGCGGTACTCGGTGCCGCACTGCGGGCAGCTGACTGCCCCGGTGCCATTGCCCTTTTGCTTCTCATCCAGCCACCGCTGCAAGCAAGCCTGGTGGATCCACTTGGTGCAGCCCCGGCAGCGACAGGGGCTCACCCACTCTGCACCCCGGTCCTCCCGCTCAGTGGCAAAGCACACCCAGCAGTGCCTGCATGGCAATGCTCATCAGGGGATAGGAGAGACAGCTACATGTGTGACAAACTTAGCAGACTCAATAGCTCACCTACAGTAAGCTGGAAAGGTGACATACAGAAACATCCACAGAACACACGCACACCCATACACATACAAACACAGGTGAGAGCGTGTCTCTTTACTTCTCGCTCTGTTCCTCTGCACAGGCCATGGCGAGTCCCTAGTCCCTGTAGCGGTTTAACCATGAAGTTGGGAGGGGCATACGCACAGCAGGGACTACTGGAAGTGCAGCTGTAAACACACATGATCAACAAGGTCATATTCACCGACCTTATAAAGAACTATCTTTTATGCCGAAGATATGTTTTAAAAGAAACTTACATGATGAAAATACCAAATCCAAAAGTGAAACAAAAAATATCGCTCATACCACCGACATATTTATACGTACATATATTTGGTACATACACTGATATCGTCTAATACAGATATTAACATGTACGTTTACTTAATTCATCGGCATTGGTAGATAGCCGTGACACCTCACAACTCAGTCCCATACATATGAAACGAAAACCCGATAGCAATTACTTAGCTTGGTAGCTGCTGGTTATCTACAGAATGGCGAAGAGAAAAACATTTACAGAAGTAGTCAACCTGCAGGAGCTGCGTGGTTTCCCCTCTCCGTTATTCATGATACAATTACGTTTTAATATTAAGGAAACTCCAGCTAACTAGTTAGCCAATGGGCTAAGAGCACACTTCGCAGTATAGTGTTCCAAGGTGGTGCTAAAAGTAACTAAACTGAGCTTTAACCCAACTTTAAAATTTTAAAACCCTCAAATAATTGGAGGGAAGTTTTACCGTAACGAAAGCGAAATAAAGCAGGAGACTCGCAGTACTTAAGTCGCTTCCAACTTCAGCTTCCTGGCAGGACAGTACGCCGTTCAGCCCCCAGCCTCAAGATGTTGACATGTCGCTTGTGGCGGCCTGGAAGGCGTCACTTCCGGTTTACAGTCTTCTTAAAGGGGAACGTGTCCTTAATCAAGCCGCAGTGGTGTCTTGGGGTTGTTCCATGTCCTTAACATAAGATTTTGGACAGCAAATAGGAAGAGATCCTGTCTGATTTTAGATGTCACTAACCGCTTCGTTTTTAACCATTAATGTTCCTGGAAAATTCCCTAGGGCTACCGGATTTTATAATTGTCTCAGGTATAGGTGTGCCCATACAGTCCAAAGAGTACAGAAGGGTTGTGCACAGTGTATGACTCAGACAGGTGCACTAATCCTTTCTGACACATGCTAGACGAAGTGTGTTTTAAATTTTATTGTAAACCAGAATGTAATTTAAATGGAATCAACCTTATATTGTTTACCCAGACATAATAGTTCTTTAGACAACGTGCGTTGTGGTGCAAGTAGGAACATAGCAAGACTTCAGCGTACCCGCTGAGCAAAGATTTAACTAAAACTTGTTAAAAGTTTTAGTGCTTAAAATGATATAACTCCTGTTTTTTTTAATGGTTGCGTTTCAAATCTGTATCACTTTAAGGCATTTGTATTTTCCTTTACATGATCTGTCTTTAATTTACAAGTTTAAAATTAATCTGCCCTACGGTGATTACAATTATACTTTCGCTACACAGTAAATAAGTTTTACTTGATTAAAACTGTAGACCTATATGGACATATGCCACATCTATGTGAGTGGTAAATTAGGAAGAAAATCAGTAAACTAATTCATTGTTTATATTATTATATTATACAGTATTACGTTTTTGCATAATTGTACTTTTATCAACCCTTATAAGTGTCAAAAAGTTTGGAGTTCTTCGGATTGTATATTTAAACAATACTGCATTGTAAAATCCTGGAAATTACTGTCCCTTTTACTCCAATAAAAAAACGTTTAAAAAATATCCTTTGAAAACTCCGTTCATGAGTGGCTTATATAGCGGGACAGCATCTCTTCCATGACACCAGACTGACTTGGGTCGACAGAACACCGGCTTTTTTGTTTTTACTTTTCTACGTGTAAGCCTACACATGGATTTACGAAATAAGTAGTGCATAGTCTCGCTGTTACTCAGTGTTTTTTCAGGAAAAAAAATCATATAACCCGCAAATTATACTGTTTACTATTTATTATAAACTAAATTAACGTTATGGACGAAATGACCTCATGATATTTTTTTTTCGCGCACCCAACCATGACTTTTAAACTTGCGCAGGCCTCTCTTGGTATCTCATTGGTTAGAATTTAGCGACTTGCTTCGTTTTGCTGCCACCTCTTTTTGATTGGTCGCTGGGGATGTCCGTCAAAGCAGTCAAACCCACCAAGGGCCTGTTAGGTGGACGCTTACGCTTGCCGACGGAGCTCAAAGTGACACTGCTTTTTTGTTTTAAATGTCCAAAAAGACATAGATTACCTGCAGGGAAAAATATACAGTACCAAGTTTTATATCACGGACGTCTGGTCATGGAGTCGTACGACATCATAGCCAATCAGCCCGTCGTGATCGATAATGTAAGTATAGGATGTTCCACATCCACACCCTTAACACTCATTGTATAGATGTTAGCCTCTCTTAGCTTAGCATAGCTATCGCTTGATTGCCGTCCATTCCCTAATTATTTTAAAACAAGTCCGCATTTTCTGGCCAGCAGCTTATGGAGCAATAACTGCGATACGCGTTTCTTCCCCGCTGGCGGTGCGCTTGCGCTCCCAGCTGCCGTTAAAGCGGTACTGACATTAGGCAGCTTTCACACGGAGTCCCCGCCTAGCCGCCCGCTTGCACTCCGGTGTCATAACAACGTAGGATTTTAACTTAAGGCTTCCATCAGAGGGATGCTGGTATGACGCTAGCCAAGTCAAATTATTGGGTTATCATCATTGCTATTATTGTCATTACTATTGAAGAAATACGGGTTATTACCCCATCAATTGCTCTATAATAAACCTCTTATTTATCATTATTTATCTCGGGTGCGAGAACTGCAACAGTAAATGCATTGTTAGCCAAGGTTTGTTAAATCCACATATGATCATTTTCGGCTGCACGGAAATATTGTCTATACTCGAAATAAATACCTCCCCCCCTTTTAAAACAAATGAATTCTAAATCTTGAGCTGTATTGCAATTTCATGCTATTAATGTTAAAGATTTCAGGGGTGGGTCATTCCCCTCAGTACTCTGAGTATCTCCTATATCTTCTTTGAGCACAGTGTTCTTGATCCACAGCTTATTTGTAAGTTCTCTTTGTACTTCAGTAAAGGCTGCTGATGCATCCCCTCCAGCCTCAGGCATTGTCTCATGACCAGGATGCAAACAACAGAGGTGTTGATAGGGTTTGACAAAAGAAAACCTTCAAACTGCATTGATGCCGCTTCTTCTCACTGAATATGTTGCTTTTTAGGGCTCTGGAGTGATCAAAGCAGGGTTTGCCGGAGACCAGATCCCAAAATACTGCTTCCCAAACTAGTAAGTCTCATCCATTTCTTTCCCCTGGTCTTTGGCTGGGTCTTGAATGATGAGGTAATGGCTTATATGTCCTGTTTGGTGCTTCCAGTGTGGGACGGCCGAAGCATGTGCGTGTGATGGCAGGCGCACTCGAGGGGGACCTCTTTATCGGGCCCAAAGCTGAGGTATCACGTTTTAATGCTGTCACCCACTTTGTTATGGCTGTTCTTTTATTCAACAATACAAATCAAGATGAAAGGTCAGCAACGCACGGTTAAAAGAATTAATTTTTTTTTATTGTCTTTGGACAAAGAGCAGTGAAATATCCTTCAGCAGCACTCCAGCTAGCAGGACAACATATAATAAATTATGTACAGACAGGGACAATAAGTATAGACACATATGAATACACAATATACAAAGTAGTATGAGACCGGACAAGTATGTGCAGTATTTGTGTAAAAAGTGCCAAAATGGTAACGGTGCAAAATGTAGAGAGAAAAGGGGAAAAATGACATTGTAATAACTCAGTGTTAAAGGACACAGATAAATATGGAAATAAATAAATATGGATGGTACATACAGTGTTGGGCGTTTCCAGAAGTTACACATCCAGACTAAGATTTGTTTCTACTAAGTCAACCTCATCTTCCCCCCAGGAACACAGGGGGCTCCTGTCAGTGAGGTACCCCATGGAGCATGGCATCGTGAAGGACTGGAACGATATGGAGCGTATATGGCAGTACGTCTACTCCAAGGAGCAGCTGCAGACCTTTTCTGAGGAGGTGTGCCTCTGCTACCAGAACCTCCATGCACTTCATAATCCATCTATGATTTAGATATCATCAATCCACTGCACATGATGTCATTCACACAGTGCATGTGATATCATCAATCCACTGCACATGATGTCATATACCCAGTGCACATGATATCATCAATCCACTGCACATGATGTCATACACCCAGTGCACATATCATCAATCCACTGTACATGATGCCATACACCCACTGCACATGATGTCATATACCCAGTGCACTTGATGTCATCAATCCACTGCACATGATGTCATTCACACAGTGCATGTGATATCATCAATCCACTGCACATGATGTCATACACCCAGTGCACATGATGTTAAACACCCAGGGCACATGATGTCATACACCCAGTACACGTGATATCATAAATCCGCAGCACATGTGCACACATGCAATCAAAAACAATGAGACAATTAGTGTGGTGAATAAATTTAACACATAATCATCAAAGCTGATATACAGGTATATGTGTTTTTCCCCCCAAAGAGAAAATCCTTCCATAGCTGACTTTATTTAGCTGGATGTTCAGAAAGTCTATGCATTGTTAGATTGCTAAAGGATGTTTAAGTAAGCAAAATGTTTTACTTTGTATGACTACCATGAATGTTGTTTGAAAGCGAGCATTTGCTTACAGCTGTTTGTTTGTTGTGGTTTGACAGTCATTTTTCGTTTTTTTTTCCTCTCCAGCATCCTGTGCTTCTCACCGAAGCTCCCTTGAACCCCAGCAAGAACCGGGAGCGGGCAGCTGAGGTGTTTTTCGAGACCTTCAACGTGCCGGCCCTCTTTATCTCCATGCAGGCCGTTCTCAGCCTGTGAGTGTAAATGTCTGCTTATGTGCTGGGCATCTAGTGCTTAGTTTATATGCATACGAATAGTATATTCATGTATATTCCAAGTTTTGGTCCCAGGATTGGGAATTGCAGAACAATAACATTAGCAGCTGTGAATCAGTTACTAAGAAGATCCAAAACACGACAGGTTGTATAGATTAAGGGCATACAAAAAAAATCACGTTTTGGTATAAATCTCGATAATAGCGTCACAATTTGGTGAAATTTCAGTACAGCAGGGAAAATAATTTGTTTAGATATTATTATTAAAACTGCAAACAAACACAATTAACAAAAACCTAAGAGATTTGTTCTTCAGATACTACAAGAGACGGGTTTATCGATGTTCCTAATTGTGTTTTCAGTTTTAATAATGAAAATTGTAATAGTAATAATAATAATAATAATAATAATGGTGATGATTTTCAAAACATGCTGTATTGAAATTGCACTGACCCGTGAATTTTGTGTAGCATTACCCCATTAGTAATTAGGCTTTGTTACGGCTGGTATCTTGCCCGGAACATATAGAGAAAAGACTAACAGTATGCAGGTAAGAATTTCTCACCCAGGCTTGTGGTTGAGAATGACTCGTCTGCAGGCTTGTGGGAGAGATTGAGGGGGGATCGTACAAGAGGCAGGAGGCAAGACGTCAGGCAATGGGAATGACTAGACCCCTCCCTGAAGGTACGCCACGGGCCGAACAACGGGCGTGGTGCTGGATGCAGGAGACGGGGTTACCCACGCTGTGCCCATCTATGAGGGCTTTGCCATCCCGCACTCCATCATGCGTGTGGACATCGCTGGCCGAGACGTCTCCCGCTACCTCCGCCTTCTGCTGCGCAAGGAGGGCTACGACTTCCACACCTCAGCAGAGTTTGAGGTGGTGCGCACCATTAAGGAGGTATGCAATAATGTCACTGCACACTGCCCTTCTTGATGATTTTCTTTATTTGAGACACATTAGTGCAACTTGCAGGTTTCTCCACTTTGTGTTTTTTTTAAAGACCACCAGAAATGACTTATTTTTAAATGTTGGCTAATATGAAGCCATTATTAGTTTTCAATGTTTGCATTTATTTTAAAGACAAGTTTGTTTATTATGTATAATGGCCACTTTTATGAAGGGGATGACACCCCTGAGTGTAGTCTACTATTGTATTTGTCGTTCCTTTGGATTATTAAATGCAAGCAACCAAATGTTGCTTTTTGCAACCAATGTTGCAACTGAATGTTGTTGACGATTAGTGTGCACAGACAGAAGATTAGTGTGCACAGACAGAAGATTAGTGTGCACAGACAGAAGATTAGTGTGCACAGACCGAGTTTTTAAGGAATATTTCACTTTCCCACAGGTTCCATGGGTTTCAGCATCAAAACCTCTGATAAAGAATAACTTTTTAGATGTTGCTGTGATAATCAATGACATGTCACTGCCTGTCTTTCCTGCAGAGGGCGTGCTACCTGTCACTGAATCCACAGAAAGACGAGACTCTTGAGACAGAGAAGGCCCAGTACACCCTTCCTGACGGCAGTGCACTAGATGTCAGTGTTTGGAATGCACCCCCCCCCAGAATGATATTTAATGAATGTGACACATGACATGAATTATTAACATTCTCAGCTGATCCCTTATTCTAGTTGGATGGATGTTGCATTACATTTCTCACAGATGCAGCACCAGTTACATAACAGTTGTTTCATTTGCTAAAGTTCCATTACAATCAGTGTGTCTTGGCATGTTTAGGATCCTTTTTTGTGGAACATTAATGATTTTTTGAGGTCTTCCCCAATAATGTGAGGTCCTGTTGGAGCCCAGAATACTGATGCTGCCTCTTCTGATCCCAGATTGGACCTGCACGGTTCAGGGCCCCGGAGCTGCTGTTCCGGCCAGACCTGATTGGGGATGAGAGCGAGGGCATCCACGAGGTGCTGGCCTTCGCCATCCAGAAATCCGACTTGGACCTCCGGCGCACACTGTTCTCCAATATCGTCCTCTCTGGTGGATCCACACTACTCAAAGGTGGAAAGCATTCCTCCAGTCTCACTCATTGTCTTGCCAAGCTGCCCTGCTTCTTCTCTTCCCTTATTGTGCTCCTTATTGCCTTTATGTTATTTATGGAAATAAGTTCTTTAAATTTCTGCAGGACAATACAATGATTCTAATGGTTCTAACATTCAACAGGGCAATCCAACACAAATGTGCACTTTGGTGAGCCTCTGATAAGACTGACAAAAGAGAATTGGTCAATATCGCTCACCTAGGCCAGGGAGTACCCTGCCAATACCAGAGACCAACTGGTCTCACTAGCAGCCAATGAGCATAAGCACTGCCATATAAGCACCTGGAATTCCTCTTTCACGTGTTGTAAAACTCAAGGAAGGCTTCAGGTTATATCCCAGGCCTAGTCGTGCTAAATATTTTGAAGAAAAAGAAGAAACAGGTAACAGACAATCTCCAGTACAAACCAGTTTCACAGTCACATAAATAAAAAAAACAATAGCACAGCTTTAAAGTAATATGAGTGTCACTACATTTTTTTCCCGATTTCCACGTAAACATATGTTGGCATGGAGTAGTGGTGCCAAATTACATTATTATGCTTTACTTGTTATTCTTGGTTGTTTATTTGGGAGAATATTTAGTATTAATAAGTGAGGTTCTGTCAGTCCTGAAGCCTCTGACCTTTTGCCTGTTTTCTTGCAGGCTTTGGGGATCGGTTGCTGAGTGAGGTGAAGAAACTGGCTCCGAAGGATGTAAAAATAAAGGTACGGCAGCGGCTGCAGCTTGGCGAACAGTATTAAACAGACCAAAGAGAAGAAACTTCTGCTAGCAGTCAGGGATTCTCATCACTGTATCTGTGTTTACCCCAGATCTCTGCACCACAGGAACGGTTGTACTCCACGTGGATTGGGTGAGGATCTGGATCGCCGTTCTGCCACAGCCTGCGTATCGAGTGTGTTCATCTGATTAGGGTGACCATAACGCCGTCTGTGTCTTTATGGCTCCAAACAGGGGGTCCATCTTGGCTTCGTTGGACACCTTTAAGAAGATGTGGGTCTCCAAGAAGGAATACGAGGAGGACCGTGCCAGGGCCATTCACAGAAAGACCTTTTAATGGGGCCTCTGCCTCGCCTCGTTTCCTCTGCTTCACCCTTGGCTACTATTTTCTTGCATACTCATGGTTCTCTAAAGCAGGAGAGCCCAGCCCTGAACTCCCGCAGGCTTGGCATGCCTTCTGTTGCTCCCCACTCCCTTTGTTGGGGGGCTACAGCCACAGAAGTGGCAAAGGGTCTAGGGCAGCAGTCAGACAGGTGTGCATCCCCACTCTCAAGAGAAACACAAAGAAAAATACAGCTTTCAGGTGCATGTCTTACAACCGTGGACTTTTTCGTTTCTATCGTTACATTTAGGGTAGGGCTGTACTCTAGATGCAAGTATTTATTAAGTCCGTTAATAGGCCCAATGACACAATCATATCCAGTATTGAAATGACGGCAGATGTCAGTGATTTACTCTGCTGAATTATCAGGCTCCCTTTAGAATGATCCCTTTCTAGTGAGGTTTTTTTTCCGTTTATTTCTCCACTTTGCTCAATTTTAGTGAAGGGCAGCTTGTTTAAGGTGCATTAATATTTGTTTGGTGAAAAAATTGTCCCCTACTGTTTACTGAGGGTTATATTCCATAACTCCATATAACCAAACAATTGATACTGACTGCATATTTTAAGGCAATGTCTGTGGGTTTAAGATGCTGTCAATTTAGTTAAGCTTGTATTGAAATTATACATGTAAATATGGTTTCTAAATGGCATGTAAGCCATTGTATCTCACCTGTGTCTCTTGGACACTACACAGAGTGTCAGATTGTCATTAGTCTTTTCTAAGATTTGTCAGTCCCACTTTGATGTCGTTGGGGGAGAAATGACAGGAGGGTAAACTCTCTATCTGTTAAGGTTCCACTGAGGGTGAAACATGGTTATTTTGGGTAAGTCTTAAGCACGGCTGCCTAGAATGGGCCTCTGGTTTTGTTTTTTATTCAGATTTAGTCCTGAGGTTGTATCGCCCTGTGCAGTTTCACATAGTATAACATATGTGGTGGTTTGCCTGACTGAACACCTGTAATTAGGTAGAGAGGGGAGCAATTTAATAAGGATCTGGGGATCCTCAAGTGTTTTTAAGGTGTGATCTGTTTACCTGTATTGTAGGATGCTGCTCAAGACAGTTTTGGGTTAGTAAAATTGCTGATGTCAGCATAAGAAGCAGAACCAGATAAAAGGCGACAGTATGCTGAAAGTAAGGTGGACCCAAAGACACAAGTGAAAGTTTTTGCCCTCTCCGAGTGCTGCGAGTTTAGGTCCAAGCCATCCCCCACCCCTTCGGTTTTTCACCCTTGATTGGAGTAATCTTCACCCTGTATAACTGCATTGGAAGACCAATACTCTTAGGTTTGTTTTATTTTTATTATTATTTTATAAGGATGAAACATTCATCAGCCTTGTGCACAATGGACTCCTCATGAAGTCATGGAAATTAAGTTGCGCAACAGAGGACTAAAATGTAAAATACTGTTCAAGTGTTGCTTGTACTTTTAATTTTGTCAATTCATTATAATAAATTAATGATTGCTGTCTGTGAGTGTAATTCTTTTGACCTGCTTATGATATTAACATGCATATGTAAACTTGAAAAATGCACAACATTAAAGCCATTTTACTTTTAGGCTTGGTGACTTCAAATAAAAATTGATTTAATCTATGGAGAAGTATAGTGTATGTTGATCATACTTCTGCTACATTTCGTAGCGTTGTACGCGTCTATCTATCTTGATATCATCTCTGCCTTTTCTGATTGGCTACTGTTCGATCCTTAACTTTCTATTGGATGTTTCTGCTGTAATAACACAGCGAGTTAGTTTGTCTCTTTAAAAAAGGTTCCGTGGTTGAACTTGTCTATTGGCGTTTAAATATACGAATATTACAAATTAAGGCATTCCATTGTTTTTTTTTACTATGAGGAGAGTTACGCTATTTGTGAACGGGACCTCTAAAAACGGCAAGGTGCGTAAAACTCGGTTAGCGAAACGGACATAGTATAAAATAAATGTGCATTTCAGTTTTAAAAAGGCAGGTGTTTTACCTATGGTGACCTAGTCAGGTTCCGTGTTTAAATTAACCGAAAGGAACCGGCTAGTCGGTCAGTAAGCTGCCAATATGCGGCTTGCTCGCGATTTGCTATAGTTAGTATTTTTAATTGATTAGTCGTGATGTTATTAAAGTTGTGAACGGTATTGTCCGTCTTCTTGAGGGGGAAAAGTTTGAGTGTACGTTAACAGCGAATATGTTCTGAGGTGATTAGAAAGCCAGGTGGATGTGTAGCCTAATGTAAAAATTATATTTAACTCTGTCGCCTTTTAAAGGTAATAATTGTATCGGACACATGGTGCTTAACCTTAGGCATAGTATACAAAAATATTCCGGTCGAAATGGCTCTGCAGGTGTATAGGATAATCAGACATGCTTGAGTTGTGAAATATGTTAACTCTGTTTCCTTTGAAAATTTCTTTTAAAATATTAAATGGTTTTAAAGCTACGGGTTTAGATTGCTAATCATTGCTTAGTGTGCAGTTTTACAGTTTCACACCCTCCCAAAACTGAGCTCAGTATTAAAACTGATCCTTTTTAAATCAACGTTTTTTCACGTACACATACACTTGAGGTTCAGCGGGAAGCGACATGAAAACGTCCATCCGTAAGTGCTGCTAGTAGCTACACAACAGCCTGTCAACAGCAGGAGGAAGTGCTTGTCAGCTGTGTCTGATGACATGGTAAAAGTTTTCACAAAGGGTACTACCAGTTTGGGCACACGTGATTAAAGGTTTCTATCTTATAATAGTATTTTTAAGCAAAAAGCCTGTGTTTAAATGCTTATTTTCTTAAGATGAATGGAAATGGTTAAGTCAATGCCCATGTGTGAATTTTGTTTCAAACCAGCAAGATTGAATTAGAAAAAGAACTTTACTCAATTGTTACATCTGTGTTACACATTACACAAACGTTACACGTTTGTGTAATGTTTACAAGTGTTTGCATCTGCTGCACTACCACTTTAGTGCATGGAAGTACTGTCCATGCTAAATTTCCCTAATGAACCCTCATGAATCTGGCTGAGGGAATGCCAAGAGTTTGCAAAGCTGTCATATAGGCTAGAGGCGTCTATTTTAAAAATCTAGGATAGTTTTGATTTGTTCAACACTTTTTTTGGTTACTGTAAAATTCCACTTATTTCGCCTTAATTGTTAAAGTCAAGTCGGTCTATAATGTAATTTTAATCATACACAGTTACTACAGTACACAGTTAAAAACAGAAGTGTTTCTTTTTTGACTAAGGTGCTACATAAATTAACAGAAGATGAACATGTAACCTAAAAACGTAGAGTGCAGTGTGCAATATGTCCAAACAACAGAACGGTGCAAAAAAAAAGACAGGACATCAACAAGTACAAGCAGTGCGGTAAACCCAGTACTGATGAAGTGCAGTGTGCAATGTGTCCAAACATAATAGAACGGTGCAAAAAAAAAAAAGACGGGACTTCAACAAGTACAAACCCAGTACTGATGAAGTGCAGTTGGTTGTGCCAATGAAACAGCAATAAAATAAATAGTAATTATAAGCATTTTTACTGGGAGAGACCATAAAAGGTAGAAAACAGTTAAAATAAATCCCTTCTTTGACTAGGTATGACCAGACTTTCAACTGGTAACGTTTGTTTTTGTGGGACTGGCTGTGTTATCACAAGCAGATCGGAGTGACATAATGTAATGAGACCGGCTGTTGGCTTGCTGCCTGCTTTAGCTCACATTTAAGACTCTTAATATTTGGTATCTGCGCTGCTAGGTGGTGGCAGTGTATGGGACACTAGTTGACCTGCTGTCAGTTGCCAGTGCCAAACTGGGAATCAGAGCCTCCAACGTATACAATGGGAAAGGGGGTCTCATTGATGACATCACCCTCATCAGGTAGGAGGTCGAATAAAGCCATACTATCAGAGGACTAATTCCACACTGCTCTTCAGGTTTAATACTTACTGTGCTCACTCCCTGCAGGGATGATGATGTGCTGTATGTGTCTGAGGGAGACTCCTTTGTTGGTGGGTAATTAGACAGTCAAATTACTGTTTTACCTTTTATAATCTTAGTGACCTGTACTATGTGATATTATTTAAAGGCATATGTGTTTGCCCCCCCCCCCCCCCCCCCCTATTTATTCCCCTGACCTCCATGGTGTGACCCAGAGCCACAATGTGAAAATGGAGACCCTGATGATCACTGCTTCCGGGCTCACACTGATTGGTTAACTCTGAATGTGGGCGGTCGCTGTTTTACCACCACAAGGTAACCAATATGCAACACAGGGGATGCTGGCTTTGTAGTACTATATAGTTACTGTATAGTTATTTACATTAGTGACGTACTGTATAGTTAGTGTACTAGTATTAGGGTAGTACTGTATAGTTATTTACATTAGTGACGTACTGTATAGTTAGTGTACTAGTATTAGGGTAGTACTGTATAGTTATTTACATTAGTGACATACTGTATAGTTAGTGTACTAGTATTAGGGTAGTACTGTATAGTTATTTACATTAGTGACATACTGTATAGTTAGTGTACTAGTATTAGGGTAGTACTGTATAGTTATTTACATTAGTTATACA